AGCTGCTTTGGTGTATTTACTGAGTTCTTTGATACAAGCTTCTCAAAGAGAACACTTAAGTTTTTTTATAGAATGGTACACTGATTAGTTATGATTCTATACTATTAGTATATGTATCTATTTTCTGTTCCCCTTCGTTATTATCGTACCGAAAAGTATCTTCTGCAGATGATAAAGTGATTTAATATAATTTAATATTTAATATATATTAATATTTAATATTTAATATTTAATTTAATATAATATTTGTAATTTATTTCATATGATTTAAATTGACTGACTTTGCAACGAAAAAAATGTGCACATGAATTTTAGTAGTTCGATAATATGCGCAATACTCACTGTGGAGAATTCGTTTTAATCATTACAACTTGAACTAAGATCGAGGGAATCAGGTCATTTGCTTTTTTAAATACATATAACGGTAGTAATGATAATGATTGCTATAAGCCTACTTCCCGCTTGACTTTTATTTCATTTATTCTTTTTAACATTCGGGAACGTGAAATATGAATATTCTAAAAATTATGGTGAAATAAGTCTAAATTGAAAGTTGCAAAATTTTCAAAGGTTCGTCAAAGTTTACGAAGTTTTTTGGATAAAACCTCATAGTTGAATACATTGAAAACAAGAGATTCCTCGTTATAACGATAATGATCATTACGTTTTGTTGCCTTTTAGGTTTTACTTTAGATTCGCAAACAATTCTGGGTAGATTTCTGGATGTTGTACGTTGCTCTACGTTGTTCTTTCAAAATATAGTCTGAGGCTATGTGCATAGCGGTGACTAAGAGACACTGTGAATTATAAGCAAATCGTACTAATATTTTCAAAGGGTAATGAAAAAACTTCGATATTTTCATTAAAAACTTAGAAAGAAAAACAACACGTTTCAGAAGAGGTTTATTCTCCTCTGTAATGGTTTAATATCTTTGCACTCTGTTAGCGGTATATAAACGGGCTTTAAAAAAGGACGGAGTTCGAATCCATTTTATGTTTCTCAAACAACACTGAAATATGGCTTTATCCAAACACAAAAACACAAGTTGTTTTCATAGAGAAATATTGTGCACCATTATTAAGTTCAGTGGAAAAAGAAGCAAAGGGAAATTTGAGATGGTGGAATTCAAACATGCACTTTTGGGTAGCGTAATAAAAAATCCAACTGATTGGAGTGATTAAGTGATACGCATATTTTGCAGTTACTAATGAGACAAGAAATTTGCATAATTTTGCTCATAGATGAAAAAAGTTTGTGTGGCAAAACGTGTATACTGAAGATAAATTTCTATTTCGAAATGATCTTATTGACTGGCTTAATGCAATAGAACAACATAAATTATTGCACCTAATTTCAAACAAAACTGCTTCTGTTGTACAGCCCATCCGGTAAAGTTATTTGTCAAAAACATTGTATCACAAAGATGACTAAACCGAATGAATTCGACAAGTTCCTTAAGAACCGTCCTTTCGTACATGAAAACTGATCCGAATCAGGAGGATTACCAAAATAATCAACATTCAGAAGGGTGGATTTCTAATCTCCAAGACTCGTATTCTTATCTACCAGTTTAGCAGCTGGAATTATACATGGGTTTGACGAAAGACATCCTCTGTCGAGTTTTCATCATAGCGATGTACAAGTCATCACACCATGTAAAAGTACATTGCACTGTAATAAGGAGACAAGACAAATGAATAAATGAATCGATTATCCGGTCATTTATTCAGTTAATCAGTCAAACAAATAATAAACCAATGGCATTTGATGGAAAATGTTTGTGGTAACCGACAAAGAGCACTAGACAGCTGTTTCGTCCTGTTTGGGACTCGTCAGCGGTGCGTAATTTTTGTGTGCCTGTCAGGAATCGAACCGCAAACTTTCGCGTTTGAAGACTCAACCCGCGGTTTGAGTCCTGAAATGGATACAAAAAGCACGCACTGCTGACGAGTCCCAAAAAGGACGAAACAGCTGTCCAGTACTCGTTTTCGATTATCACAAATATTTTTCATCCCATGTAAATGTATGAGCTTGTGGGGAATTAAAGATCTCTCAAGGAGTGAAACCAACACCGAAGACCTTAAAGAGTGCCTAATGCCTCTTAATAATTAAATGGTCTAATCCAAGTTTGCTACCATAAAAAATAAATCAACGAATCAATGGATGAACTAATCAAATACAAGCTGCACTATATCCTATTCTATATCCTTCGAAACACACAGAAATGAAATACGTTTTGCTCATGTTCTTTGCATTCTAAAGAAGAAATTGCCTTCATTTTTCTTCAGATTGCGTGTGTTTTCTCCGGTTGTTTACTGTTATTAATATTTCAATTACTAAAACAATATTTTTCTGATATTTGGGGATGGTGTTACCGGATACTGAACTACAAATGATTGCGAGGGTGAAGTAATATAAAAGCCGGCAACTTTTCAATCGTTGGACTTACAATTATTGCGCGTTGCCATAATCATATTTTGCTTGATTCATTTTTCCGTGGAAGGACTCTCAGCTAATCTCCCTAGGACGACTGATAGTAGATAGTGATATAGGCCACATTTTGTGTGAAAATAGTGTTTTACGAAAAAATCAGGTACACTATAAAAAGAAAAATCATTCAGATTAAACTGAATTTATTCTGCCGAGCTCTGAAATATCCAGTCGCAATTCTTGTGTAATTAGAACCTCAATTGACATTGTTTATGGAATTGTAATCGTTACTAAGGAAAATAAATAACTAAATCACATTAGGACAAGTGTTTCATTGCCCAGAAATCAAACTATGACACTTATAGTGGAATGCGTGTCTAAATTCGTAGAAAATTATTTCACGAAACGTGATTTGCTGAGCGTCAATGCTTTGCATCAATGGGAGCAATCTTTTAATCCTTTTGGAAACAAAGTTTCAGCCGCTTTTATAACATTTAAGTTGGTGTTGGCAACGTCAATGGCTCTATCTTACATAGAGTGAGGGTTTCACAAAAGTTTCCCATCAAGCATAGTGAATGAAAGTGTTAGGTGTTGTACCAGTGTGTAATATAAACATGAACCTTCTGTGGAATTGGACCACTCTCGGGCTGTTTCAGACTGAAAAAGCGCTTTGAACATGTATACCGTTTTCCAATGATAATGGGATATGATGCAGCTCTGTGATAATCGATACAAGAAAGTGGAAGATCATAATTGAATAAGAAGCTTCAAATGACAATTCGTCGTGTATATGGCAAATGAAGCGTGAACTGAAAAGCTCGGAAGCACTGGACAGCTGTTTCGACTTGGTTGGGTCTCATCAGCAGTGCGAACCCATCGAGCCGACTGGGGATCGAACCCGGGACTTCATGGGCAGAACGCAAGCCCTTCATGGGCAGAACGCAACCGTGCTACCCACTACGCCACCGAGCAGCTGATCAGACCGTTTTTTACATTTCCACCCGTGCTACCCACTACGCCACCGAGCAGCTGATCAGACCGTTTCTCATTTCCCATTTACAAGCGTGCTACCGACTACGCCACCGGGCAGCTGATCAGACCGTTTTTCATTTTCCATTTACACGATATAGCACAACCCCACATTTGCCATATACACGACGAATTGTCATTTGAAACTTAACCAAATCCTCCATTACCCACATGAATAAGAAGCATTTATAATATTATTTGGATTTCATCTACTACTCTCACGTAACAAGTAATTAGGTTCAGAATGTTTCCAACCTAGCTATGATGTCAGAAGCTAGTGTTGCAAGAGCAAGCTGTGATACCTGCAAAAAGCTTTCGAAGATAGACCGTGCTATATCGAGCATAAGTAACATGCAAAACGGCCTGGTCAGGTACGCGGTGGTCAAGTAGATAATTTGCTTGCATTTCACCTGTTAAGTTCCAGGTTCGATCCTCAGTTAGGTCGAAGTATTCGCACTGCTGATAAAACCCAATCAGTTTGAAAAAGCCGTACATTGCTTCCGGCATTTTCGTTCACGCTTCATATAATCTACACACGACTAAACTTATTACTAAAATCCAATCCAATGATCCACCGCTCTCATGTAACTTATCATACTATCATAATGATCATTTAGCATTGCATTATTGGGGCTGTTGAGCGGTACCGGGTATGTTTTCAATGCGTGACCAAAACCCCATCAATGCATATAATCTGCGAGGGAACTCGAATGACTACTTGTTGAACTTTGTCTTTGTTTCCTTTCGTATGATAGACGCACGTGAGAGACTACTTTTCCAGACAGCTAATTTCAAAAACGTGTTTGTTATCATACAGATTAAGTGGGAATAAGAGAACGCAGATTATAACTATACGGAATTCAGTTTGCAATGTCCAATTATCAATTTAAGATGTTTCATTATCAGCTTAAGGTATTCTGGCGCTACACAAATGGTATCTTGAGTTGTACGATGGGATTTGGAAGCTTGGACCTTGTACATTTTTTAACTGAAATGTAAGCATATATGCTTACACAAGTTGTACAAATGCAAAACACAAATACAAATTGTTCAACTGACGGCCAGAGTACCGACCACCGGGAGACATAGACATTCTCACATTCACTGTCAATCCACTTTTGCGACACAAAGCATTCAAGTGCTTTTGCTTTTTGCATCATAAGATGGAAGATTACTGAATGTTTCCTTTATATTATTCAAAAAGATAATCACATATAACTTTGGTAGTAACGGTTTAACTTCCTATCAGATCCAAAACAATGTTTATTCATGTAGAATGTGCGCAAATATATGTGGACTCTCTGGGTTCTTCAATAATCCAAATAGTGCCTCCACAGACTGAGTTCTATCCTCTACCTGAAGAAACCGAATTGGCTTCACCCAAACAGCATCAACCTGAAAAGAGTGGAAATAATTTTATCATTATTGCATCCATAAGAAATTCTTTATCACAATCTGAATTGTTTTATTATCCAAAATGCGCGATATCGGTGACATTTTTTCAGTTTTTATTTATTTTTTAGAATTTACCATGCATATTATGGACAAAGTACACAACAGTGAACCTGAAGCTCTTCGTGCGTTGAAAGACGAACACGCTTCAAAGAGGCAAGATGTAAGTGGATCATCATTGAAAATGTATTAGAATCCATGACCATAACTCTAACCTTGTGTATTGAAGTGAATTGTTTTAGATCAATAAACTTATAATTTATTTAATTAAGATTTCATTTTGAATTGCAACCGCCAATCGTTGAACAGCGTAAACTTCCTATTCCAGGCGTTCATTTTTTAGATGAGAATGAGCGAGTGATGTAACTTCCAAAGTAAATTTTCCAAAATCAACTACTGTTGTTTAGTAGTTTGTTCAGCAAAAACCGTTCAACGACTATTCAGTTCATTGACTGATTGATTGATTGATTGATACATTCAGTCAGTCAATCAGTCACTCAGTCTGTCAGGTTTATGTTGAACAACTAGAAGCTTAGATGCCATTGAATGCGACTTGAAGAAGACAACTAAACCAAATGGGTGAAATATTTAGGAGTCAAATGAATGTTGTAAGGTAGAATTTTGGCACCCTGATGTACCGAGCATTTGCTTATTGCACAATCAGTCAGGATTTCAGGACATGTTAGGTAGCACCTCAAAATAATCTTTCTATGATTGCAAAGTTTTGGAATTAATTTTGTGTTAAATCCACGAACTGAACGGTCTCTAGGCATTATCGAGAAGAGTTCTACATATGATTATCTGTTCTATCACAATGCCGTATTTCGTACTTATCGGGATCCAGGCTGTGTCTAGTGAATGATGTTATAAGAATCTTAATGACATTAGAATCTATCCTCGATATGATCGTGGTAACAATGCACTATCAGGTTACTCACCTAAAAACAGTGAATTTTCTCAGGGTTTTCCAAACAGAACCCTTGGCTAACCAAATACTCGTCAATAAAACTGCGGTTTGCAAAAACCCGAAGTCTGTTGTGAGGCCGGTCTCTATCAGACGGATCTTAAGCCATTACTATTTTATCTGCGCTTAAGGATAAAACCAAAGTTTCCAGCCTATCCAGATGAACTAGCTAGTCGTGTTTCACCAAATATCTATTATCCTGTACGTTGATCTTTTGCCTACTCCAAATACTGAAAACAATCTTTCCACACGAAGGTGGTGATTATAATTCTCCAGGAGATGTATTGGGAAACGCACTAATGTGCAAGGATGTTTGAATTAAGAACGAGGCCTTGCCTGTTCTCAGTGGGATTGTATAGTTCTTTGGACTCGACAAGAGTCCATAGATTTAGACGTACCATGCAAAATTTGTTTCACCATTTTCGGAGTATTTTTTCAAAAAGCCCTGCACTACGATGATATTAAGAATTTGCAAGTCACGGAGAGGTGATACCAAGCCTTTCTTCTTGTTAATTAAGTGGCCCACAGATTTGTGACAACTAGGAACCGTCTACATGATATTTTCTTAAAATGATCTTCATTGTAGTACGCGTATGATGAAACTGGTGACAATCCTGCATTCCGGATTTTTTTAGATGATCATTCAGATTAGTATGAAGAGACAACAAACAACTGGGTTGACTAATCCCGGTTGTGTCTCAGTCCAGTGACATGTCGGTTAACAAATACAATGCAAGAGCAAAGAAGATCTTTTCAGGCGGTACATAACTAAACTGGACTATTCATGCAGGTGGTTGTGTGAATTATTCGGAATTTCGAGAGGGAAGTGCTGGTGTTCTGGAGAGTTTTGGGCAACTTATAGTGTATCCACTCTTTAAGTGTAGTTACCATATGCATCACTCGTATGAAAGATAGTCACTAGATATTTCTCTGATAATAAGTAGGCGCCGTTCGAGCAATAAACCGGAGAACAGCGACTGACTGATTGGTGTACATTTTATTGTTTGCTAACTGAAAGTTGACGTCTTTGTCTGCTTGATGAGATCAAACAAAACGAGAGTTTTGGGATTCATGCCTACTTCTCCCTTGGAACCAGCCATTATGACCACAGAATTGACAAAATTATGGAGTTTATGATTGGCTTGGGAATAGTTTAATTGAAACTCTTGCGGCAAGCCTGCTTCCGTATGAACACGGTCAGAATATGTGATTACTTTGACTAAAAAAGTGAAAGCACTGAATAACTAAAGATTTCCGTGACAGAGGTAAACTAATTAGTACACAGGACGAAAAAAATGGTTTTGTATCAGAACACGAGCGTGCGACAAAATCGTCGTCGTGAGTATGAACTCACGACTACATACTACATATGGTTAATGGAAGAATTCTGTAACTTTAGGCGGGAAGAGCAGAAAATTGGATTCGATATGGAAGCTAATTTTCTCTTTTATAGATTGTTGCTTTTAGTCGGAGGAGAAACTTTTAGGATTGTCTTATCGCTAGAACTGGCGATCGGATAATGCGCATGCTAATTATCTAGTAAAATCTCAGCAACCTAATCAAATTGTGCTTAGCCTTGGAAACAAGTGATTTGACGAACTCTAATTCTAACGTTCAGGGATTAGTACTCAATTGGCAACACTCTGTATCTCATAACGTTGTGAAAATGATACTCAGCCAGGTCGAAAATCCTTTCAATGCTCACCAACTATGGCCGTTTGTGGGACAGATTTAAAGCTGCAAATTCATTTTGGATTTTTGATCAACTAGAGGTGGAAGCAAGGCGGCAATGCGAAATACACCTAGCACTTTGACAGTGATCAGCCGTTGTGTTAGATCACTAGGTACGCTGTATTGCCGATTGGGGACCATCTCTCGCGGTTAGGAGAAGCGAAGTCGCAGGGAAATTGAAAGCAAATTTAGGTACTCACGAATCAATAAATTTGTTTAAACTGCTGCAAAGCAACATAAGTTAGTCTGAAGTATCCAGTAAATGAGATAACCTAAGCTATGCTTGAAATCTGGACTTAGGTGTTCATTTTCATATGGGATAAGCTGATCCACTTTGAGGGTCGAATAGACACCAATAAGATTTTAATTTCTACCCCATTCCACCATTGTTTTTTAATATACTTGTTTTATAGCAGGCGAACCGTTGCATAACATGTGATTTTTCCTACCAATTCATTGATTTCTATCAATTCAGCCACAGACACCTCGATCATCCTTGTTGTTGCAACATTCGAGTTCGTCCGGTCCCATCAGCGTCATAAACCCAGTGAGTTGATGTTCGACTAACGTTGTGAGGAATTAGCCAACATTTTTAATTACCGCTTGAAGAATGAAGATAATATTTTTTAATGAAAAGAAGAATATTGGATGAATGAACACCAAGCCGGTTTTGACATCGCGTGTGTGAAAAAAGTAATTGTTTCCATTATGTGGCCGACTCTTTATTTTTGCATGAAGTACTTTGCGATTCATTATTACCTTGTACATTAGAATGAATCAGGTTCAACTTATTTTTCGTATGAATATAGTAGATGATTATTGCTCACATCTGTTATTATAAAGTACTAAAGTACTAAGAAATAACTACTCAAAAATTTGATGCGATTATCATCAGATTGGGTTCGTGTTGATGCTTGAAGATTGGTTTCGTGCTGAATCGGACCGGTACGGGTGAAACAACGGGACCATGCGTAGCGAGGAGTCGAGTACCATAATATCCACTACACGGATGGGGGTTATCACATAGTAGAAATAAGCAGCTGGTTAAAACTGATCTAACCCGACCCTAGAGATCCGTTTAAGTTATCCCGCATGACGTTTCTTCCCTCGCAGCTACTTCAATGTATTGAACAATCAGCTACGCATCAATGTGACTACAACATTCTAAGCTAGATACGTGGAACGATTCCATGTCCGCTTCAGCTTACACCGTTTTATCACTGTCCCTGGTTAGCATATTTCTCAGCATTTGTAGTTTGTCACAGGGCCGAAAATGTGTTACTACTTGTTTGGCGATCGAGGGCGATCACAGCGAAACCGGCTTTCGAACTGCTTCACCACTTTCTGAACCAATCTTTTCAATCTCAGCGGAAAACTACTTCCAAATGTAACATAAGGCTTCAGTTTCAGGAGTAGTCATCGGCTTCCACATCTGCAATAGTTTCATTGGAACACGAGTTTCGTGATTTTGAGTACGGTGACAAACTACGCTGAAAATTTTACTGCAAAGCTTCTGATATAATCTTCGGGGTAGCAATAAAATTAGATGTAACGGAAAACTCTGGCAGACGTGAACAATTACTATTGAATGCATTACAAAACTGCGGTCTGTGATTTCAGTTTAGTTCGTGGTCAATAAACCGCATATGTTACCATTGAGATAAATTTACTCCCATAATTTGGTCGAGCAGACAAGAAGAAGTACACAGTTTAGAAAGACCTGAGGAGGGGATCGGGCAAAAATGGAGTAAACGGACACGATATCGTCAGAAAGGGGAGTGTGGATACGAAACGGGATGCACAATCACATCCGGATGGCTATCGTATTCGGGCGTTTGCATCGACCGATTTAGTTTGATCAACAGTGTACTTGTCCCTTGTCTATGATGTAAAACGTTGACCAAACAACAAAAGCAAATTACTTGTTGTATACGCGTAATAAAAGATTTTCTCTTGATGTTTCACTGAGCTTATTTGGCTCCATTTTGTCCTAGTGCAGACTAAATGTATTGATATAGTTTCTCCAAGTGGTGGTGGTGGGTCGGTGGTAACATCACTAAATTATCACCCCGGAAAACAGACGTTCCAATTCCATCACCATCACCTGATGTTCCCGTTATATGTTTTAAAACATTCGTTTGATTGATCACTCAGCCCTTCCTGAAGACTGTACCATTGTACATTCAATAACGGAAAGTACAAATGAAAAAAATGAAAAGGTTTTTTTCAGAGTTGGTGTCGGGGTTTCACGATTTATTTGAGTACTCAACTAGTTTTAAATTCCAGCAGTTGTTTAGTGGTAAATTAAAAATTAACATACCGATTATTCTGTTACCTTACTTTTTGTTAACTAAATTGAAATTGGCCAGGATCATTTTCTAGAAAATCGATCATCTGTCGCATATTAAATTATTCACTTGTAAAAAACTGTTTAATGTGTATGTGTGTGTGTGTGCATGTAGTAAATTCCGCTATCTACCGATTTCGATTCTGCACCTCCGGATGCCGAGTGTTTATTTCCGATATTTTTTGGCAAAGAAGCCTCAAAGAAGGATATCAGCTAACCAAACGAGCTTCGGATTGACTTTTATTATATCTACAAATGAATTATGATGTGTTCACTCGAACTTGAGCATACCGCATTGGAATTAAAAACGACTACCAAAAATTAATTCATGTTTATTCCTGTAGGAACCATAATTGTTTTGGCATTCAATCAAGGGTTTGCTAGGTGTGAGTGCTTTTGAGCCTGATCTTAGCTTCTGCACATCTTCTGGCTCTTATTTGCCGAGAGTGACATTCATGTTTTTCTCAAATTTGACGTAACACGAATGGTCCAGTAAGCATAATGATTGTGTCAGTTCTCAGCTGTCATCGGGTGCAGATGAGTGTATTCAAGAATGCAATTCAGGGTGAAACATGTGGAACTATCATGAAATTATGATGTGCGATTTTAGAACGCCAAGCCAACGCATTTTTTAGGGCTGGGAACAAAGGCCTCAAAAACGAAATGAGTAATTTGGTCGAAAACAGAACCCAAACTCTCGAGGTTATCTTAAGGATGAACCTGATGAGATGCTTGACAAAAGTCTGCGGGTTGTGTTCTGTTGTACATGGACAAAGGGAAATAGTCAAATTAGTCCACTGGTGGTCGAGTGAGTAGTATCACTCTGTTCTATCTCTCAGGTTTTCTGGTACAGCCTCAGCTGGGTCGAGCAAATGGTACTACTGGCTTGACCGAAACGAATGAAACAGTTTTGTGGTGCTTTTCAGTTTCCCAGTTCATGTTTTGTCATTGCTCTGGATACAACGAAATTCCTCAGGCAATTCGTCTACTAATCCATTGTATCCGAACAGTACGAAACAGAAGGGTCTCGAGCTAATACAATCACGAGAACCATGCACATTACACACGGCTTCAGAATCATCATGGATTTACAAAGGTCACTTTCTCTGTTCTGTTCATGATAAACTGAGCTACTGACACACTTTTGAGAGTAGCATCAGGTGGTTAATCATTTCACCACGCAAACAAACACTGTCGGCGATCTTTACAATTGCATTTGAAAAGCCCACGATTTGTTGTGTTTTATTAATTTCTACGGACCAAATGGACTAAATTGCATTGATGTACTCCGAGACGTTACTCAACCCATATTTGGGCAGTGCTTTCTTATATTTGAAAACTGCAGCATGTGAAAGTATTACTAGGTGTTTCCACAGCGGTTAACGATCTAAATTACTGTAGTAGCCGTACACAATTGCTGATCTCGGTAATAATCAACGAAATTGTGTATCCCATTCCCAATTAATCAATAGAATTAAAGTCGGGACATTCTTTTCATTGCTTAGTACTCAATTCATAATTCATAAACTACTTTTTTGAATCCAGTCTTTCTACACTTTGGAGTTTGAACAGTGCATTGAACCTTCATTCATAAGTGATTGTGATTTGACAGAACACAGCATGAGATTCCGTGGACATCATGTGATCATTCAATATCGCACAAATGTCTTTGCTATGATAGACTTAATTGGTGAGGCCAATTAGACGACTGGTGTAGTAAAACCACAGAAGGATTTTTTGAGTCGAGATAGTATGCTAAATAAGCACAGAATGAATATTTTAAATCGACCTTGTATTATCCCCTTCATTTGGAATGTATCTAGCGTGTTGTACGGGAAAACGCTTTAAAAATATCCCGTGTGAGGTTCCATCAATTATTATTTTGTTGGTATAAGAAATTAAGAAGAGGTGCCAAGCGCCGGCATAAAGCGACATCAATTTGAACAATACATATTCTTTGTTCAACAGGTTGTAAAGTCTCGTCCAGATATGACAAAAATTGGGATGGATCAGTGAAAATAGAATGGGTGGTAGGACATAGGTGGCATAATAAATTCATAAATTATCCTGTCGCACACAAGTAGGGGGCTGTGAATGAAAATTTCAACTGCTTCCACTATTTCAGAACACGATCTCTGATCCACCTAGATGGTCATTTATGGATCTGATAGAGGACACAAAACGTATCATTCAAGTCAACTATGTGACCTGACTATAGAAGGGGTGTAAGGATGGTGTTTGTGATGTACATGGAGATTTTAGAAGCATGTAATTTTTGACTGATCGAAGTTTTCAACGTTCCAGTAGGCGTATCAGTCATAAATCACCTATAAACAGTAACTTCGATTAACTGGCTTCTTTTGTACTACAACAGCTATCTCCTTTCTGTGTGTTGTCCACAAATCGTTCTGTAGATTCATTTTGTTGGAAGAACTAACCTAGGAAATCTAATTGCCTTTTGGTAACATCACCAGAGCACATCGCCTGCGTTCTATTGGCCAAACACTGAGTTTGTTTTGATTTTTCTCTCCGAAATTCCGAAACAAACGTATTTTCCGACCACTAGGTAGTTTACAAATCCATCAGTTTTCGCCGCATTTTGGGCAAACGGAAGGAATTGCGGCCTGTTTTTCAGTCTCTTCCTCTTAATTGGTCTTCATATTGGGTTGTGCACAATAAATTGCAGCCATTGGTTTACTTGGATCATTACTATCACCAAAAGAGCAGATTGTATCCTCGAGCACTTTTGCATAGCTTCACCGTTGCGTGGAAACTTCGAGAGCGCTTTTCCCCTAGTATTGTTCTCAAAGAATCCGCAACTATAATGGGTCTGTGTTTCCCACTGGTTTGGTTTGATGAAATCATAAAGAATTTGTTCCACGATTATGACCATTTCTGTCATTAATCTCAGCGTTTTCATTCTCGTTTCATTAGCAAGTCTCCTTATCCTTGTCTCAGAACAGCTTACACACATCTGTATTTATAAACAAAAGTATACAACAGTGGAAATCATTTGATTATTTTTAGATCACATTTCAAGAAAAACAGGCACCTAGTCCATATTCCTCAGCTAGGGCAGCTCTGGAACAATATATCACGAAAATACAGAAGGATGTTCTGAGTCATGAGAGAGCCCTCCGTCTGATTGGTTCCCGAATGCCCTTGTTCAACGCAATGGATGAGACAAAACAATGGCTTAAAGCGGCTGGAAAATTTGCCACCGATGAGGAGTTTAACGCACATGGGGAAAAATTGCGCCAGTTACTCGAACAGTTGGATCAGAAGATGTGCGAGGCCGAAACTGCCCTAAAGCAGTTTCACGAATTACGCCAGGTACTATCCCTGCAGCTAATTACTGTGAGATTTTCTTGACATATTTATGTGTCATCTTGTTGAGGTTTTCGGAATTAGGATTCCATCTGGAATCTTTTGGAATTATGCCCATATATGAGAAAAACATCCTGGAGCAAATTATAAACTTGCATGTGAAATCTGTCATAAATTAAAAAATACCAAAAATATCGATCTCAATCAACGTAGCTTGCTTAATAATTACTTATTATATGCCATAATCACTTGTATGTGTAACCGATTGTCAATGAACACGGTTGCAAAAGCGTTTAACAGTTTTAACAGAATCTTTTCCAGTAATGCACTATAATAAATTTTATGGAAATTTATGTTATTCAAGATAATTGTCTTCATTTTCTCATAAGCGATATAGGATGTATATAAGAGTTATTTTAGTGGAACAATTTGTAAAAACAAGCTAATCTTGCAACGTTTTTTTCAGCTAATGTTAACAGCACTGAACAGCGAAAACACTGCCCGTACATCATGGCATTCAAACAGGGCAGAGGAGCTGAAAACGCTAATTGACGAAACGGATAACTGGTTTCGATCATTTCCGACAAATTTACCACATGAACTGAAAGATAACGATATGGATGTCACATTGAACTACTTTATTTCGCAACTTGAGGTGAGAATAAATTACTTATATGAATTAAGTAAAACTTATTTGAGATTGATCATTGTGCGACGGGCCTTTCCATTAAACAAATCCTACAACCTAAATTTAACAAAATATGGTTAATCCCTAGTGTTTCACATGTTGATAAATACACACGAATGAAACATCCATTAACTTTGGAATTCGTTAAGCCGACCATAAACTGTTGTTGGGTGCTCATTCAGGTGAGCGAAAGAAATATCATACAAAACGCAAGCACATGAATGCGACTGCTTTACAAAAATGGCTTACCGTATGAAAACATAATTGTATAAAAATACTGAGATGAAAAAATAAATGATAATTTGAAAGACGTTAAAAATAGGTTATTTGTTCGCTACAATTTTCAGCCAACTCATTTCATCCCATTCCGATCGGGGTATTACTCAAAACATGCTTCTTCATCTCTGCAGAACTAAGATGTAACTCTCATATTGGCCAGAACTGACGGATTGTTTCAGCTTTGGGAGCGCATTCGTAATATAAAAGTGGATAAACAGAACTGACAAAGGAGCGTAAAAGTTCAACGTACTGAAAATATAATTATGGTTTGAACTAAAAGGGACCTGACCAACAACGTTTTTCTGTTATCTAAAGTTTGGAACACTGAGCATGTGCCCCCCTCTAAGGGGGAATCGATCGTTTTTCTTCTCTTTAAAAGAAGTTCACTTAGTTTTTGCTCCATCCCAGGACTAAATTTCTTATACCGATAGCGTCAAAGCTCCCAGAATCCGCCGATTGTGCAATATGTTTGAGGAGCAGGCTGTGTTTCGCACCAATCGTGAATTCACCGATTTTCGTCCTCCGGTAGTTGCTACGGCACCAGAAGGTTTAGCATAGACAAAGGACCATTGTGTTCTTAGACATTTGAGCGGGCTTCCACTCCATCGATGGGAATACAATATGGAAATGTTTGTTTAGAAATGGAGTATTTGAAGTATTTGTCCAACCTCGGAATGTTGCATCGCGGTACTTCAGATCGGTTGAAGGCCCATGGCCAGCTTTCATCACCCTATGTGATCTTCAGTGGAGTTCAACCTTGCAGTCCTATATCCTCATTCCTCTTCAAGTTTATCACTGAAGATATTCCCCAGGACGCTTTGTTCGGTCTAGCAAAGGGTGGAGTCAGAATCCTTTCAGGGAACAGAGTTCTTGAATTGAAATATGTTGATGACATCGTCTTGTTGGGTGTAAGTACACAGGCAGTTCAACACACTTTAAACCGCTTGGTGATAGAGGTATGGAGGTACGGTATGTGCTGTGATCTATTTAAAAGTAAAATGCTTGTTCAAGACAGGCAGGAGTCTGCGCCTGCACTGACCTTATGCGGTGATCACCTGAAAGTAATTGAGAGGCTTAAGTAAACTGGGAGCTTTATCGCAGCTGGAGGTGGTGTTGGGTAGAAATCAAATCTGGGGTAGCTTTGCCGCCCTGCAACATCTGCGGCCCCTCAATGACATCCGATTTCCCTTTAAGGGAATGGTGCACACCACCGCCGTTCATATAGTTCTAGTTAATGGTTGCAAGACATCGCCCCTCCATGTTGAGGATGCTAATTGACTTTCTGTATTCTACCGCCGATGTCTCTGAAGCATTGGCCTTCTGTTGGGAACATGGAATCAGTAATGACAAAGTTCCCCATTGCGTGCTGGGTGCGGATAGTTGTGCTCTAGCAGAAATAATCACTCTGCACCGCCTTTGGTGGCTTAACTAAGAATTGCGTTGCCTGCTCATCGTTTACCTACCTCTCCGTGCCCTCTTTGCACGCGCTGGACAAGGCTGAAAGAACCGCCAAGACGGTCAGACCAGAACATGTAGATGTATGAAGAAAGTAGCCTCAGCGTTGACTTCCGTTGGTGCAGCTCGTAGTTCAGGCTAGGTCCCAAGGGATGAAGTTTGCCAATGACTAGGTACGCTTAGGAAGATGGATCAGAAAAAAGTCGATGGAGCGGTTGCTGTGCGGTTTGTTTGTTGAAACCCCGGTTCTCACTACAGAAAAAAACAAAAAAAATATGTACGATGAAACAATTACAAATTCATTCATTCATTCATTCATTCATTTGTTCTCCCTGTTTTTTGTTCTTTCATCTTCCTTTCATATATCTGTACACCTTTCTACAATTATTACGGTAGTAGTAGTTGCTTTTTGTGTTAGCAACATACTGGTCCTCAAACCGGCGATATACATATATATACATATATATATATAACGCTTTTCGTACCGCGACTGAGTAGGTGACTGGAAAAGCAAAGGAACATTTGTTTGATATTACAAAAGTATGATTTGCAAAGAAAAGAGATGTACGCATTTTCGTTCGGTTGATTTGGTTACAGATATTGCATCGTGGGAACAATAAATAGTTGATTTATTTATTTGATTATTAGATTTGATTATTTATTCTTTTGTAAGGTTTACTTTGTTTGGGATTTTGTCAAAGCCATTTGATTGTATATCCATTGAGTATTAGAAATGTTTATTAAAATCAGCTCTTGCCAAGCTGGAAGACTGATTTTGGTGTTATTAGATATAGACACTAATCTGACATTTTAAACGGTGTTTCTTTTCTGTTTCCGTCCTGAAGCGTGAACACTTAATCATTAACGGTCGAGGTGCATTAAAATGAGGGTTCAAACGAATTTCGAGACTCAAAATGTGATACGTTCCGATATGAGATAACTTAACGAAAAGTGCACATTTATAAATCTTCAGGACCAATGCATGATATCTGAATCACTTTCTATTCATTTTAGTTAATCCGAGGAACATTCCAAGAGATAATGAACAAGCGGGAACCAGAACTGCCTCCAAAATCAAGACCCATTCCATCGGTAAGCTGATTTAGGTTTATCGATTTTGACTCAACCGTAAAATTGTGAACAACATGAATCAATTTTAAATCAAAGGATAATAAACATAGATGCAGTATATTGAAGACTTTTGTAAGATTACAAAAATAAAATGACAATGCAAATTTATTGCAAGTTTACTGTAGAAATGATCAAGGCGAACAAATGGGTTTTTTTAATTTTCACTTCAAAGCTTGTCTCGTATGTCACAGTACCGACGAAACAAAATATAGTGATATTTTAAAGTACCAACCATGAATTAGCTCATTCGATTGTTCAGAGGCACCAGGTACTCTTGATTGTCGCTGATGCATCCGGACAATCGAATGGGCTAATGCAAGCTTTAAACTCTAACTTGATTGAGCCATTTGCACAAGGTGATGACCGTCGACCCCGTAGCTCAGGGGTAAGCGCTTGAAGTTCATATTCGGAGGTTCACGGTTCGAGTCCTGAAAGGGACACAAAAAGTATGCACTGCTGACGAGTCCCAAGCAGGACGAAATAACCGTCTGGTGCTACTTATTGGGTATCAAAAACATTTCCATCACATATTAGTTATATTTATAGCTTGTGATGAATGAATGCTTAAGCATGAATTATGTAGCGAGTGTTTTGCAAGTCCAACCCTTCCTATTTGAACAGAAATCTTATATGGCAATCGTGACACTGCATACAACAAAATTACTACACCAAGACAAAATAAAAAATAACAAAACAGTAGGGAATAAAATAATAAAATGAATTAAAATACTGTTGAATCACTGCTATTATGTATTCTTATAAACCGTGTTGTCCTGACAAGCGTGAACACATAAGTGCAGCTTTTCGGCCACGGCTAAGTGTTGCAAACATCCAATGCGCAAAGCATATATCACTCGTCACAGAATAAAAGTTAGAAAGACCAAGAATAACTACTACCTACCTGATAAGCGTATGCTTGCTGGTAAACAAACAAATTTTCTGTACAGGGAGATAACTGTGAAAGTAAAAGATCATAAACAGACCACTTGAACTTCTGAGGGAAAAATACCGAAAGATCAAGGTCTGGGAGAGGAGTTGGGACTGAAGGAATATTATCCGCCAAATTAACTACACCATTTAATATGAGTGTTATACAGAATGACCATTAAAGTTGTAAATTTCGGGATCTATAGGATCAAATGTTGCATGTCACCCTAACTAAATCTTTGGTAGCGTTGCGAGAATGTAAGCCAGATAGCAAACCGCAGTGGGACGTGTTGATCTTGGTAGAACACAAACGGGTCGGAACGAAAGCATGCAACTCGAATCTTTTCCATTTACACTGTCGTTTCGCAGATTTAATTTTATGTTGAGATCGTAAAAAGTTTAGTAGTCTTGGCGGAATTCGTACCCACGCTTGGACGCCGCCTACGCCTTCGTCCAGCGCACGCTCTACCAGCTGAGCTACGAAGCCACACCGATAGCACTGATCTTTTCCAGTTTGCATCAAATGCTGAAATTAGAGAAGAATGAGGGGGCTCATTCAATGTAA